CCATGGCTGGGAGCTGAAATCTCTTTAAAGTTCCTTAAAATCCTCACAACAATGTAAGAGCCATTTCATTACACCTTTTTGGGGGGGAAAATAAACAAACTGTGCTGAGGACACAGGGCTCACAGGAAGGGCAGAGGGAGCCCCGTGCCAGCAGGGCAAAGCTGCTGCTGCCCTGGGGAAGTTTGCTGTGTGATCCAAACAGCAGCCCTCAAACTGTCAACTTGCTTCTGCTTCCAGTTCTCCATAAATAGGTCTCCAAAACATGTCCATTTTCCAACAAGGAATTTATTTATAAGCTGAAAAAGTAACAAGACATAAATCCAAACCCCCCTCCTGGCCAGCAGTGTGAACTAGACTCTTTTGTATGTGCATGCCTGTGTATGCCAAAGAGGACAGACACTTCTTTGAAGTACATCTCAGTACAGCATTTAAAACAACAGTTTCCTTGCAAGGAGGGTAGTGCTAAGGGAGGCTGTCTGTGGGACAACCAGTTCACAGTACTGGCTGGAACTGGGGGTGGAGTATTGTCTGCTTACTGGACCAAGATTCCTGCAGCATCTCCCCCTTTCTGTTTATTTATTGAAGAAGAAGAAAAAGAAAAAAAATAGATTTTGAGAAGAAAAAATACTGAGTCTGAAATGATGCAGGGTTTTCTGGGAAGTTTTCTGCCCACTTTGGGGTGAAAGCTGCATTTTTGATGGCCTGTGATTTGTTTGAAAAATGCCATGCACTTTGTTGACATGGTCCTTCCTCCATTCCTGATGTCATCCATGGATGTGAGTTAGATCTTAGTAAATGGAACATCTGGTCTGTATTCAAGTGAGGGGCAGTATTTGTTGATAATTTTAATCTACTTGTTTTCACAATAGTAATATGTGCACATGCCCTGTTGAATGCTTGATGTTCCAGGATTGGCTTGTAGCTGGAAAGGAAAAGGAACTTCAAACTCAAGGATATCTTTTTTTAAAAAAAGACTCTGCTGGAAGGATCAGTCTCCAAGGTGTGTGTGTTTTTTGTATGCAGAAGATGACAGCTTTGTAGTGAGACTTGGTTTAATTGCCAGTAACTTGTCATGCAGCTATTTCCTTCTCTGGAACAGACATTGAAAGCTAGAACTAAGGGAAAATAGACTGATGTGGTTGATTCCTTTCCATGTTATCTTAGGAATGTCAGTAAAAAGTGTAATATTGCCACTCACCTGGCTGATTTTAGCTGGTTTTCCCACAAGAATGTGCTGGGAAGCACCAGTGTGATCAGGCTGGGAAAGCTGTGCTGAGCTCCAGCAAGAGGAGGCCCTTGCTCTTGGCAGTACTGGCTTCTGCTGCTCCCCACCACTTCTTCTGCCCCTCTGTCTCCATCCCTCTTCCACCCCTGGGATTTTGCCCTGTGTTCATCCATCTGTTTTGCTCATTCCCATCCTACCCACAGCCTCTTTCCTTCCTTGCAATTGTCCACCCAACCCTGTCCTTGATTTCTCTGCTGTTCCGGTGGTTTCATGTCTATCCCCAAGTCCTTCTGCTTCTCCAGTGCTGGTCCTCCAGCTGCAGCAGCATAGCTCTTGGCTCTCCAGCTCCATCCTCACATTCCCAGCTCTTCTCCTCCTCTCTGCCTGACAGAATGTGTGAGGAGCACTCGGGATAAACAAGGATTTTTGTGTTTGCAGACTGAGCTGCAGCTCCACGGCCAAAATAGCTTTAGATGTGACGGTTGTTTGCGTAGGACGAGGTGCAGTATCTGGAAAGGCACTTGGCCAGTGGCCGTGCCTGGTTAGACAACTGGGAGGGGTTTTTTTGGGAAACCAGTGCTGCGTATTGATGGGCACATCCTGAAGAAAAGCTCCTTGCTCCTTCCCAAACATGGGCAGCAGGAACCATCTCCCAAGCTCTTGTCCTGAGGAGAGCGTGTGCCCTTTCGACTAAGACAAAATACCCTGAAGCAAGTGTCTCTGGCTCTATTTTAGGCACTTCCCTCCCAGGAGTGTTCCACTGCATGAGATTAATAGAGCTTTTCTAAATAAAATCCCAGAAAATAGCAGGATCTGGCAGCTGGGTGGCTGTTCTGCCCAGTGGTTGGTGCTGTTTCTCTGGAGCATTGAAGGCTCTTGTGTAAGTCCTTGTGACTGTGGTTGAAAGACTTGTCTGAGGAGCTGGGAGGAAGGCATCACCTCTTAATCTTCCAACTTGCTTGGCCAGAAGATGAGGGTTTCAAACTAATACTACTCGTGCATCAAGACCAGCTCCTTGCTTTTCTTTCCAGTTCTTTTGGCTCCTTTGACCACAGATGGAGTGAGAGCAGCACAGGGACCAACCTGCTGTGCTCGATTTCCACACGGTACCTTTTCTAGCAGGAAAAATACATATCCAGCTTTGACAGCTCTTCATGAACAAGCAGGCAGGGTTATCTGCTGCAATAGCCCTTCAGAGCCACAGTCATGAACCTGGGGTCCATTTGTGGTACCTGCAGCTGAAAGAACAACCCAGAGGTTGATCCTTGCTCCATGAAGCTGGAGCAAGGATGGAAACTAGAGCAAAACTGGCCAAGTGGCAGCATCCAGAGAGGTGTTTTGCATGCATATGTTTGAGAGGAATAGCATATTTAAGCTCATCATATGAAACAACATGGGGTAGTCAGGGGGATTTTCTTCATGCTGAAGAAGCATCTTAGGAGCTGAGGTGGTCTAGCCCCATCACACTGGGTGCTGCAGGGAAGGACTAGATGTGTGGAGTCTGCCTGCACTGGGAGGCCCAGCTGAGATACTGTGAGGGTGGGTGCATGGCTAGGAGGGAAGCTAAGAGTAGAAGTTATTTTAAAAAATAAAGAGAGCTCTCAGGAGATCAAAAGATTGTTTACTGGCTTAGAGCTGTTGCTTTATGTGCCAGAGTGTGTGGTTTATTAGTAGGTTGGGAAAAAAGCTTCGTTTCCTTTTTTTTCCTCAAGAATTCTGGGACATCTCAATGTGTCTTGTCACTAGCAGCAGGTTTTGGATCTGTAATTTACAAATGGTGGGAAATAGTTAATTAATGGTTAATTAAAATATAAATAGTTTGTGGGGGAAAAATATCATGTATTCCCAGGCCAGCATGTTGCCTTGGATACTGACCACAGGCAGAGGTGGTTACAATTACCAAGACCTTTCCCTTATTTTAGTCCTACAGAAGGGTTCATGAAGGAAGTGCTCCCTTTTTTTTGTTCCCTCTGAGCTGTATGACATGAGGGAGAAAAACTCTCCCTGGCTGCTCCTTCCTGCTGGGACCCCTGTTGGTAGAGGCAGGAGAAGAAATCTCATACTGGTGGTTTAGAGTCTGCTGAGAAATGTGGCTGCAACAGGAATGATTTCCTCAGGGTGGTGTTAACCTGTCCTTTTACATTTATTTTCAGCCATGATGAAAACTAGGTAATGGCCAGGAATATTCTTCTGTTTAAGGGTACAAGAATACTCATTAATTGAGTTTAGTGGTTCCTCTGCTGACGTGTGAGGAGGAATCACACTGGCTGTTGCAGCCGTGGGCTGGCAGCTTCCCTGCTGGAGCTGGGAACGTGCTTTCTATCCATTGGGAGAGCAGGGTTGGTCCTTTTGCAGGGGCAGGTCGATTTATCCAGGTTTTTTAAAACCCAGCCACCCCAGCCAAGGTCTAGTTTAGCCTGGATTGGTTCCCTGCATGGATTGTAGCACAGCCAAGCAGTGATGGCTCCACAGGGGGAGTCCGTGGATACCTCAGGATTCTGAGCATCCTCTTTGGAGATGCCGGGCTCTGCTCTCCCAAACCTCTCCCTGCCAGGGCAGCACTTTGCTGCAGCCAAAGCTGACAGCCTCCCAGGGCTGGCAGTGCAGCTTCATGCCCAGGGGTGCAGGCACCATATTTGGCTCTGGGCTGGCTGTGCCCTGACCTCAGAGCTGCCTGCCTTCCCTTGGCCGTATATGGAGAGGCTGCTCAGGGAAGCTGCTGCCTGACCCGAATTAGAAGCACTGCAACATCTGTATGAAACACTGCTGGTGTTGCTCGCAGCTCAGGAGGTTAAAGCCAGGCCTTGGATTGGTTTTGTGGTGAAGGGAATAATTGGAAAAGAACACATTTCCCATTAAATCCCATTTTTTAATGGTTGGCTGGGATGGGCGCAGTTAGAATTTCCTTTGTGGTGGAAAAGGCAATGCAGGGGGAGAGCAGAGCATGAGCAGGAGATCTCTGCATCAGGAAGCCAATAATTCCTATATGGCAGTAATAAGAAGTACCTTTCCTGTGAGAAGCCAGCACAGTCTTTGCTGCACAAGTCCTGCTCTTTGCTTGGGTGCTGTGTGAGGATGCAGAGGCTGCATCAGGTGCAGGATCTCGTCCAGCCTGTGCAGCCAGCCCCTCTGAGACCTCTCCCTGAGACCAGCAAGGATGGGGAATGCAGGATCACAGCTCTCCAGAGACTCTACCTGCTGGCACAGAAACCTGGAGCAGAGCAGAAGAGGGGTTTGGTTTCTTTTTTCCAGAGAAACATGGGGCAAAGCTGCTTTGGAATGTCACTGTTAGTGATGCCTTTATGAGATCTCTGTTGGGAAGTCCCTGCAGCGAGGTGCAAAGCCTGCATGAGGAGGACAAAAACTTGGACTCTAGGAAGGGTGGGCTCAGCCTGTGCTTCCAGGGGCACGAAGGAAGCAGGTTGTACCTCAGATGTCCCTCCAGCAGACTTCCCTGTCCCTGGAAAAACCAACAGTCCCTTGAATAGATTGTGAGGCCTGGAGAACAGCCCCAGCGAGGGGACTGCTCACACCTTGGTGGTTGGTTGGAGACCTTTAACGTTCACAACACTCATGGGTCTAGTGGATGGCATCAGTTATATAGGATCCAAGCCAAGGGGTCAGACTCTTTGGAAGATCCTTTTATTTATTTGAAGAATTTCCTTGCTGTCCTGGCCCCCCTGGTTCCTGCGGGGACCCCTGGGATTGGGTGACAGCTGCAGAAAAAGCGGCTGTGCTGACTTTGCTCCGCTTTCTCTCCCCCTTCTCTCTTCGCAACCAGATTAAAAAGCAACAGCAGGATGTGTTAGGCTTCTTGGAAGCCAACAAAATCGAGTTTGAGGAGAAGGACATCGCTGCCAACGAGGAGAACAGGAAGTGGATGCGTGAGAACGTCCCCGAGGACAGCCGGCCCGCCAGCGGGAACCCGCTGCCCCCACGGCTCTTCAACGCCAGCCGCTACCTCGGGGTAAGGCAGCTCCTCAGCCCCCTCCTGCTCCTCCCTGCCAGGCTCTCTGCTGGGGGCAGCAGGGGAGGACTTGGCCAGACGTTTTGTGCTCCTCATGGGCTTCTCCTAAGAGCCAATTCTTGAGTGTCCTGGTTTCGTCGCAGAGGTTGGAACTCGGAGCTCCCGGTTCTTGTTCGGCCTGGACAGAAGGCTCTGATTGGAGCTTAGAGTGGCCTTCCAGTGCATGAAGAGAGCTCTGCACTACAGGAGAGCTGGGCAGGGACTGTTCATAAGGGTCTGGAGTGGCAGGATGAGGGGCAATGGTCTTAAACTAGAGCTGGGTAGATTTAGATTGGGCGTTAGGAAGAAGTTCTTTGCGAAGAGGGTGGGGAAGCTCTGGCACAGGGTGCCCAGGGAGGTGCTGGAGGCCCCATCCCTGGAGACAGTCAAGGTCAGGCTTGACCAGGCTCTGAGCAACCTGGTCTGGTTAAAATGGTCCCTGTGACTGCAGGGGGGCTGGGCTGGGTGACCTTCAAAGGTCCCTTCCAGCCCCACACATTCTGTGATTCTCACATCCTTCTGCTACTTATTGGAATGACCCTACCACCACCTGGCAGTGTATATATATATATATATATATATTTATTTTATTTTATTTTTTTCCCCTTTTAGGGCTCTGAAAGTGGACAGGATTTTTCTTTAATTCCCATGTTCACCATGATTGTGAACTGAGGCTTCACAGAAATCTGACACTCCTGCATCAGCCTCCTGCTCTGTACCAGGTTCAGAGACCTGTTCTGTCAATGTTTGCCAACATGTGTGTGATCCCAGACCATTCTGTAGTCTGTTCAGCTTCCAAAAGAAGTGCAGAGATGTCTGCCACGACTATAAATCAGTTTTCTCCTCCTGCTTGGGCACATTTTTGGTGCACTGCTTGCAAAATGGGGTCTGCTGTGCTCCACTTACTCCAGTGCCTTGAACAGATTAGAACTGCTCTTGCAAATACAGTTCCTACTTGGAATTATTTTAATGCTTGATCAAAAGTAAGTTCCCCTGCAGCACTTCCACTTGGCAGACCATGCTTGAATGATTATTAGATTAACTGTTAATTTTATTTTTAAAACTTAATATCTTCTGAAAAGAGCTCACAGTGTGCATTCCTCTGGTGCCCTGTCTTGGTTTCTAAGTCATTTTGCAATCTGGTCCTGACCTGCAGAGTCTGTAAGTCAGAACCTGCCAGTTCTGGACCTTTGTGAGGTGATTCTGTGGCTACGGAAAGAAATGATTCTCAATGTGCCAGGATTAGTTTTTTTTAAATCTTGCTTGTAATACAAGCAGAACTTGAAACAATATCCACAGTGAGTTAGTGGCTCTCAGAATTTTACTGAGTGTGGCTGTGACCTGGAAAAAGGTTGCTTTGGAGTGACAAATGGAATGATCAATAGTTGTCTGGAGGCCAGTTACAAGGAGCTTAAAGTCTCTGTTCAGTTATTTCTTTTTAAAACCAAACAAACAAAAAAAGAGGTAAATATTTCTGTCCCAGTAGGATGTCGAGTTGCAACATTATCACCTTTCTCCCTTGGTGGACCAGAGTTTTAGGGATCTAAGAGGCTCACTGCTGCAGCAGAGCAGTGGGACAGGAAGAGGAGAAGCTGTAGGCACCAAGAGATGCTTCTCACGTGTCCCCAGCTGCAGACCACGGCAGTTCTGCATACCTGGATTTTGAGGAGAGGGCTGTGGGTGCTTCAGAGCAGTTCTTGCTAAGGGTTTATTTCATCCCCCT